GACTGCTCACACACTTTCATAGCCTCACCCAGCTCCTCAGTTCTACCTGTCTTAGTACAAAGAGCCTGCTGCAGAGCTGGTGGTCTTTGCTGACTCAAGACTGTCAAGTCATTAATTGCCTTCAGCCCACAACTCTAAACCTCCCTAAACCCAGTGGTAGGCTAGCTCTTTTTGGCATTTGCAGGATAAAACATATTCGTTAAGATCTTTACAACATATCTTTTTATTCATGCCCATTTCCACATTCTCCATGCCAATGCTCTAAGCCCTGGAGACTTCCCTACCAAGGTAAATCCTGCTTAGTTTTGCTGGAGGGGCCTAGCTAAGGTTGAAGTGTGATTTGTTCTCCCAAACTGCTGCAGGAGCTTGAGCCTGAGAGTCTTGCGTTCATTAGTGCTAAAGGATAGACCCTTTATCCTCCTGTGTTGTTTAGAAGTGGGGCTTCTAAAATCGAATTGGCTGAATAAATGAATCCCCCCACTCCCATGGCTTTGTCAGGAGAGAGAAAGAGTGACCATGGACAAAGACAGACACTTTCATTCCCACTGTGATGTGATGCCGCCCCAGGCATGTGCACAACTGTTTGGGTTTCATGACTCCAAAACTATGAACTCAATACAAGTCTCTTTGTTGTTGTTTTTGAGACAGAGTCTCACTGTGTAGTCTATCATCAAATTAGTGATCTTCCTGCCTCAGCCTCCCAAGTGCAGGGATACAGCCAGGCACCACCATGCCCAGCAGGTTCTTTTTTTTTCTGGACAACCTGACCTGGTTATTTCAGAATAGTAAAAGAAAGCTTACGGGTACAGCCTGCATGCACTTCCTTCTACTCAATACACCAACCACTTCTCACACTACCCTGTAGATTTCACAGTCTGGAGTCGTGGATTTAATTGCTGGATGTAAAGCAAATGCATAGAATACCATGTCATTGTAAGGTATACATCCAAGCCCTCAGCCAAACAAGGAGGCGGCAAACAATTCACCCACATGAGGCTCTGTCCCTCCCCCCTGCTTTAGGCACAGTCACTGTCCTAACATTTCAAAGGGACATTTGATTTCTTTTCTCTGTGCTAGGGAATAAGCCTTTAGTGTGCTGGGCAGGTCTTGCAGCTCTGAGCTACACCCCCAGCCTTCTTTGTTTTCTTTATGATTTATTACCATGAGTGATGATCATCCTTAGACGTAATAGCTTAGCTTAGGTTGGCTGGTTGGCCTTTTTGGTCTCTTTAAACGTATCCCTTTAAAGATCTGTAAGTCTATACCTTTAAATCTTCTTCTTGCCATCTATGTGGAGGGAGTGTGTCGCTGTCCTGCCGACTCATGCAAGCCCACACCCTTCCAATTTTACCCTGATTTGAAGCTTCACATGTTTCTGTCCTCTTCACTTCCCAAACATTCTTATTTGGACACAGATGGACTGGCAGGGGGTTAGCAGGACCGCTTCATGGGAAAGCATTCTCCATCAAGAGACCAACAATGCTTGTCTTTCCTTTGTGATTTATTGAGTATTAAGGCCCAAGGGTTTATTTATTTATTTATTTATTTATTTATTTATTTATTTATTTATTTATTTTTTCAAGACAGGGTTTCCCTGTGTAGCTTTGGAGTCTGTCCCGGAACTCTCTTTGTAGACCAGGCTGGCCTTGAACTCACAGAGATCTGCCCACCTCTGCCTCCTCTGTACTGGAATTAAAGGCATGCACCACTACCAGCACCACTTCCTAGGCAGGAAGATTGTGAGTCTGAAGTCAGTCTGGGTTACAGGGAGACTCCATCTCAACACATCAAAACAAAACACCAGCAATGAAAAAGTAAGAGTTAGTAAACCCAGGATTTTTTTTTTTCTCTCTTCTAAATAGGGTCCTGATATGTCTGACCCATGCACACCAAGTTGGCCTCAAACTTGCCAGGATCCTTCTGCCTCTGCCTCCCAAATGCTGGGATTATAGGCGTGTACTATTACATGTGCTACCTCATGTACTGCCACGTGCTTGCGTCATCTTAAGTTGTTGAATTTGCCAACAACAGAAAACTATTTTCATATACTTATACTGGGAAAGGATTGTTGGATATACTGGACTGAATCGGGTGCCTCCAAATTCTTATGTGGAGCTGTAGTCTCCACACCGTAGAATGTGACTGAGATAGGGCCCTTAAGGGTTGATTAAGTCAACATGAGGTCTTTAGGGTAGACTCTAATTCAATCATGTTGGGGTTCTTCTTGGATTTAGACCCACAGAGTAGCACCAGGGAATGCAGAGAGGAAACATCGTGTGAGGACATAGTAGAAGATAGATAGGCACCTGTAAGCGGAGGCCTTGAGAAAACACGCCACCTAACACCGTGATCTGGGACTTCTTGCCCCAGTATTGTGAAAAGTTGTTTAAACTGCCTAAACTAGAGAACTTGGTCATAGTAGGGTGAGCTTGTTCAAACTCAGACACCAGCTGTTCTGTTGAACACTGGGAAACAAAGGGAATTCATCATTTGTCTTGGCTTTCTTATATTAGTTGATTAACTAGTACTGACAAATAAAAGAAAAATAAATTATATAATTACAATGAGGTAGCACATGTAATAGTACACGCCTATAATCCCAGCATTTGGGAGGCAGAGGCAGAAGGATCCTGGCAAGTTTGAGGCCAACTTGGTGTGCATGGGTCAGACATATCAGGACCCTGTTTAGAAGAGAGAGAAAAAAAAAATCCTGGGTTTACTAACTCCTACTTTTTCATTGCTGGTGTTTTGTTTTGATGTGTTGAGGCGGAGTCTCCCTGTAACCCAGACTGGCTTCAGACTCACAATCTTCCTGCCTAGCTTCCCTCATGCTGCTTGTCATCACACCCTGCTGCTCATTTTAACTCCTGGAGGTCAGAAGCCTGAAGGACCATAGGCTCTGGGTAAATCAAGAGGTAGAGTTGCATTCCTGGAGGTTCTGGAAGAGCATCCCTGCTCAGTTCATCTGCTGCTTACCGGCCTTCGGTTCTGCGCAGGTGAAGGACCCAGGCTGCGGTTGAAGCTTCACCCTCAGCTTCTAGAGGCCTTGCGGTCCGTTTCTATGTCTCTGATCTGGCAGTGGCAACCAAGTCAAACTATGCTCTGAACGCCCCCACATCTTTCTCCATATGTTCTATTGGAGATTAGGATGAGAAAATCTTTGGGAGCCATAATGTTGCATACCACAATTCACATTTGAAAAGGACAAAAATACGTGACATAATAACAGTGCCTGGGCGATATAGTCTTCCTTGTACATATGGGATTATTGCAAGGAACTTTCAAATTTTAATGCACACATCCATACCTACAACTTTAAAATTTTAAACGAAAGATGATGGGATTTACAGGCAGATACTAGCCGAGGTCCTGAACAAGCCATCGGTCCTGTGACTCATAAGCCTTCCCATATTCAGAAAAATAATGATTTGTTTCTTCGTGTCAAAATTGTGATGTGAATTAAAAGAGGAGGGAAATTTTGGGCAGGACCTAATAAAGGTCCATGAGAAGTACCAATAGTCCAAACCAAGTGAGGTAGTTTACACTTGTCACCTCAGCACAGAGGGGACTGAGGCAGGAGGACTGTGGATTCAGTGCCAGCCAGGGATACACAGTGAGTTCTGGGGCATCTTGGGATATGTAGGGAGACCCTGTCCCACCCCATTCCCAAAAAAAGGATGAGGAGGAGGAAAAGGAGATGGCAATAATCTACCTTCCTGTGCGGAAGCTGACTACACCACATCTCAGAGTATCATCAGAAGCCGCCCTCTCTGCCATATTATTATAGCTGCTGCTTATGTTTGAAATGTTTTCAAGAAGAATTATCTTTTTCACTTTATAAAAGTACTGTGTCTATTCTAGAGAACCCAGCTACCTCTGAGGGCCTAAGTCACCCTGAAAGCGACTTGGCACATTGTTTCTTCTCTCACTCCCTGGAGTGGATGAGTCAGTTTCCTATATTCAATTTCCAGTAATTATTTACTCTTATGCTTTCCATAAACACACTTCCCTTCTAATGTTCTGTGGCTCAAGCTATGTATTTAATTAAAAATGAGTTAGTGTACAAAGGTACTCAGCCCAGCACACTGTAGCAGTCACTGAATGTTACCTTGTCCTGTCTCTGTGCAGCAGTAGTAAACATATTCTGGAATTACAATATTCACTTAATCTTGAGGAATAGAGCCTCATGCTCCCCTTTTTGGGTATTTCCAAGTCTTCTAGATATAGCAAATAACAGCATACAAACAATACAAAAGCATGCATCTCTCCAAAAATGGCAAAGTAGACTAGAAGCGCATGAAGAAAATGCAAAACAAAACTAATGGGATGGATATTTAAGCCAGTGACACTACATGTCAGTGATAGTTAGAGAGTCCTATACATTGCTGGTGGACATCTCAAATGATATAGTCACTGAAGAAAGGTGCTATTAGAACTTCTCAAAACATGCAAACATATAACCAATCCTGCAACTGTGCTTTGAGTTATATACTCAAAAATATGAGCATGGGGGCTTGGATATTTGTGCATTGTCCATAATACCTGAAAGAAGGCACTCAGGTGCCATGGCTAAGCAAATGGATAAACAAATCATAGTACAAGCAGGCATGCAATAATAGCATTAATTAGGAAGGAAATCTGATGGCGTGCCAGAATATAGGTGATCTGCAAAAACATTAAGCTACATAAAACAAACCATTCACAAAAGGAAAAAAAAAATGATTTACTTATCTAAAGCATCTGGAGTTCGAGGAGATAGAAAGTGCAATAGTGGTCACCAGGGACCAGAGGTTTAGCATTAATGGGCCTCTAGTTACCATCTAGGAAAGTGAAATATTTTTTGGAGATGGTAGGTGATGATGGACATAAAACAGTGAGAATATTACCAATGCCACAGAGGTTAAGAGTCCTTTTCATGCTGTGTAGGCTTTGTCATGGGATTTGTAAAATTCTGTTCTGTTGTTTTCTCACAGGGACTGGACCCTCTACCCTGAGACACTATGGCCCAGACCCCAGAATTGAGAAAACAAACAAAAGGGAAAGGGATAGCAGAGATAGCAGGGATTCCCCTGATGGCTGACACCGTGGACAACTGGAGCCAGATTCAGACCTTCAAAGCCAAGCCAGATGACCTCCTCATTTGTACTTACCCTAAATCAGGTAACTCGGCAGAATGACATCTCCAGCCTCCCCCTCTGAGCCATCTGAACTCCTCACCTAGTTAGAACGCCCTTCGATGTCTCTGTTCTGGGGTGAGCTCCATCTCAAATGCCTGTAGTCCTGGGTTTTCTGAAGCTCACTCTCCTCTGCCATCCACTGTTCCTCAGAAGAGGTGAGTTATGCCTCTGCCATTCTACTCTCCACAGAGATCCAAAGTCTTCCTGCTGTAGGTAGCAGGATCCTGGCCCGGGGGGGGAAGATGACCCGACATCCCCTCTTCAGAATGCTTGAAGAAAGAATAATGGGTTTACTACTCTTACACTTCCCTGTCTCCTCAGGGACAACATGGATTCAAGAAATCGTGGACATGATTGAGCAGAATGGGGATGTAGAGAAGTGTCAGCGAGCCCTCATTCAACACCGGCACCCTTTTATTGAGTGGGCACGGCCACCCCAGCCATCAGGTAAGAGCCCCAACTCCCTATGTTTTCCCCTCCTGTCTTGTCTCTTTCTTTGCCTTGTCTCTCAATCCCTCCTCTTCTTCTTCCTAGTCCCCCCTCCCACAAACCCCCGTTTTTTGTTTTTTTTTTTGTTTTTTTTTTTGAGGCAGAATCTCTATACATAGCCCTGGCTGTCCTGGAACTTACTATGTAGACCAGCCTGGCTTCGAACTCACAGATATCTACTTGCATCTCTCTTCTGAGTGCTGAGCTAAAGGCGTGTGTCACTATGCCCAGATCCATCCCCTTTCTTGCCTTTAAATCCCATAAAATGTGAGTAAGGAAGGAAGAAAGATGTATGTAACGGTGAAATTCTGTCTTATTTCCTATCACATGTTTGCTCTGATCAGGTGCAACTGTAGAACACTAGAAGGTGCAAACCTCGATTCATCAGCAGCTCACACCCCTCTGCTTTCAGTACCCTACGCTATTATAACCAAGTGCTTCCTGGACAATGTCTGATAATTCATAAAGCACTCTCTCTCTCTCTCTCTCTCTCTCTCTCTCTCTCTCTCTCTCATAGAGTCAATTACTTTTGCCCAGCTGAAACCTTTTTTTGTTCACTTAATGCTTAACCTGATGATTTTTGTCTTTACACATGGGGAAAAGTTCACTAAGACAGCCTCTTCCCCACAGGGGTCACTGAGCACAGCTTCTGGGTCCACAGAGGGCAGTGTCAGCACAACCTCTCCTGCCTTCCTGCCTGGCAGCGCCATTTACTCTGGCCCCCAGGGACATGTGTGTCTCTTTAACTAACAGCCACTTCTGTTCAGCTTCTTTCCTTGCCACACTGCACATTTCTTTGTTTTATTTGCTCTCTTTCACTGTGGAACAGAGTTACAGCCATGAGCAATAACCACAACATGACAGGATCCAGTCTTGGGATTTCCTTGCTAAACAAATTAGCCCCTTATTTGTGAACTCAACCCCACTCAGATTCTTAGGACATGAGTATGTGGCCAGACTCTTCACAGAATGTAATAAAATAGCCTCTAGCCAGTTCTCAACAGAGCTCTTCTGAAACCTCATGGGCTGGGCCTCCACTATCTATCCTTTTCTTGGCATTCTGGTCTTCTAAATCCCCACCAGACTGGCCCATATGAAACCTTGCCTACGGCAGTTTCAGGCGTCTATGGCTTGAAGTTTGACTCTCAGCTCACGTTTACTAGTCTGTCAAGAAGTTGGAGGCAACTGATCACATTGCATCTTTAGCAATGTCTATTTCCCCATTGTTGCTCCCCATGCTCTTTCAGTGGGCCTTTCTGGAAACCCCGCCAGGGATATGTATTTCACAGCGATTCCCAGTCCTGACAAGTTGACCATGGAAAGTAACAATTACACCTGGTCACCTTCCAGACCTCAGCTCATGCATGCAATGTGGTACGTCACTTCACAGCACACCCTGCTGCCACACACTTATAGTTAAATGCCACTTACTATCAGTCACACTGCTAGTTTTTATAAGTGCCCTCCTCCATGTGACAGGCTTCCTGATTCTTCATGTAAAAGAGTCTTTACCATCACCTATGGATCAGAACCCAAAGTCGAATTCAAGCTACCTAACAGCTTGAATTCACCCCAGTCCTTGAAGCGACTTTAGTCCTCAGGACTAATCCTTCTCAGCTCCCAATGGCATTACTTGCAAACAGCTGACTTCTCCATGAAAGAAACCCCATTAAAGCCATTTGCTTTCTCTTTATCTCCCCTCACCTCAGCTTAACCCAATGATTTCACAGAGCAAGTCCCTGTAAGTGTTGTAAGTAGAAGCTCAAAAATCATAAACCATGTGTCAGCAAGCGTGTTTTTTTTTGTTTGTTTGTTTTTTGTTTTTGTTTTTGTTTTTCCCACAGATGAAATATCACAGCACAGAACAGGGAGAGGTTTGGCTCTGGCTGGCAGGGAGATGAGAGGGAACTGCTCTCTGGTCCTGACTGGCTCTGCCTCAGCAAGACACACTTGTCTATTCTCAGCTTCTGGCTTATCATCCTCAAAGTGACTAAACCCCCTGAGATGCCCATAGAATGCTCTCAGGCTTGGGGTTTGAGAGGACACCGAGAAGAGTTTTATTTGAGATGAAAAGCTTGTTAAAAGAATTGCTATCACCATGGACACACAGACAGCAGTATGGAAGGGCTCCGATGAGAACCTAGGTGATATGGTAGGATGAGGGAAGGGGACCTTTCCTTTATTTATTTATTTATTTATTTATTATTTATTTTTAGTCTCCTTAGTGTTGTGCCATTCTCACTGGCTCCTGCTCTCAAGAGTGACACGTAGAGGAGCAGTGAGTGTCTGACACTAAGAGTTGTCCCCAAAGCAGCAGCTTTGACATGGGAGGCTCAGGGTGCTGGGGACCATGGGTTCCTTGCTGTGTAGAGGAGAGTGTCTACTCAGAGGGAGAACAAAGCCCTACAGAGACACAGCAGGTAAAAAGACAGGAAGAACCAGGGAAGGTTTCTTTTTTTTTCCGTTGTTTTTTTTTGAGTCAGGGTTTCTCTGTTTAACAGCCCTAGCTGTCCTGGAACTCACTCTGTAGACCAGGCTGGCCTCAAACTCACAGAGATCCACCTGCTTCTGACTCCTGAGTACTAGGATTAAAGGCATGTACCATCACAACCCAGTGAAGGTTTTACAACCTGGATCCAACTCACCCTGAGCCCATTGCCTTTCTCTTCTTAATCACAAGAAACCATGCCGCTCCTGTTACAGTGGCCCTGGGAAAGATGACAGACAGTACAGCTGAGAAGAGATACCAAAGGCCACTCCTAGGCAGGCTTAGCTCTCAGTTTTCCCTGGCTTCCCACTTCCCTGACTCTTCACACATCTGTGGGCCATGGTGGTCCTCCCATCGCCAGGTACTGAAGGAGAGAATAGGCTTCCAGGTGAGAAACACCCAGCCTCTACTACCATGAGCCTGCCCAGGCCAGGGTTAGCACTACCATTAGCCCTCCCTTGCTGTGAGAAAAAGGCGTGAGCCAAAAGCAGCCTATCACCAGCAAAAGGAAGGGAGCCCTCCTTTTTTTTTTTTTTTTTTTTTTTTTTTTTTTTTTTTTTTTTCTTTTTGGAGACGGGGTTGCTCGGTGTAGTTTTGGAGCCGATCCTGGCTCTTGCTTGGGAGCCCGGGCTGGCCTCGAACTCATAGAGATCCGCCTGCCTCTGCCTCCCGAGTGCTGGGATTAAAGGCGTGCGCCACCAACGCCCGGCGGGAGCCCTTCTTATAGGTCTCAGAGGACATAGAAAGTTTCCTGTAGCCAGGCTGTCTCTGATTCCTGTACAGCAGCAGGATGAGAAGGAATTCTCAGTCACATATTTGGGGACATCTAGTTGAGGTTGTACCCATTGTAGAGGTGAGTGCTGTGATGCCACTGGTAACTCTCTGATATCCTGGGGTCTGCCATTCTGAAAATTGGGCACTCAGGGAATCTGTTGTTCTGTGGGCCTAGAGACTCACATGTAAGTTCTTGATGGCACTCACCATTACCTTGATATAAGAAAAATGCTGATTCAGGTGGACATGGCCTGAGGACCAGCCTGGTTTGAGTTTTCTCAGTAGGACACACTTAGATCTAAGACCCCATCTTATCCTCTATAAACGGACAAAGTAAATTTCTTCAGAGCTCATATGGATCTCTCTTGCTTCCTAAGTCTAACAACACAAAAGCAATACCATTATTGCCTCTAAGGAGTCCCCCCCCCCCAAATAAAATCCCCAAAAGTAGGAAGATCCATGTGTGGATGATGGGTAAGATGAGTATCACCTGGAGTGGAAGGTCCCATGTGCTGAGCATCCCCTGAACTCTGTTAAAGGTGTGGATAAAGCCAATGAGATGCCAGCTCCAAGGACACTCAAGACCCATCTTCCCACTCAGCTGCTGCCACCATCCTTCTGGACAAGTAACTGTAAGGTAAGACAGCAGTAGCTCCCTAGGGGCCTGGGGCAGGAAGCCCAGGGAGCTAGGCCTCCAGAAACTGGGTGAGGATACCTTCCTTGGCACTATCTATTCATTACTTCTGAGTACTAAGACTCAGCAGTAATGCAAACATGAAGATAGATAGTATCAGTAGAGTGTTTCCCTGGTTGGTTTTAAACATGATGTGGAGGAAGAGGAGGCCAGACTGAGTTGTTAGAGATAATCTATTCCTCAGTGAAGCAGACTGGGGGTGGGGTGGGAGCAGGAAATGTAATGTAGCCTGTAGGAGGTGTAGAATGGAACAGAGACAAGACTGAGTAGAAAAAGAACTGTACAGAACAGGAAACCAAAGTAGAGCCACAGAGCAGGTGCTTGTCTGCAGCCTCGGAAGCTGCCAGCTTGTTTTGCTTTTTTCTAGGACTGTATTATGTACCAAGTGTCTAGTGTAGTGCATTTTTGCCACATAGAGGATACTGGACCAGGCTAGGTGTGTACAAGGATACAGCAACTCCTGCAGTGGGTAGAGCTAAGGTCCCAGGATGAGCTAATAATTGCTGAGAAGACTATGGTTTTCATAGGCTGAATAAAGGAAAGAAGGACAGAAAGGGTCTAGAGAGATGACTCAGTGGTTAAGAGCACTGACTGTTCTTCCAGAGGAGCCAGGTCCAGTTACCAGCACCCCTATGACAACTCACAACAGTCTGAAGCTTTGGTTCTAGGGGATTTCATGCCCTCTGCTGGTTTCTGTGGGTACTGCATGCAAGTGGTTCACATCCATGTAGGTAAAGCACCCATATACATAAAATAATAAAAAAATGAAGTATTGTTTAAAAATGACTAAAAGATTTCTAGACAGCAGGAGTATAGTTGGGACTCGTGTGAACAAATGACTTGTTTCCTGACAGTAAAGCTGAATGAGGGGCATAAATTCTATTTCTGGCATTATTGAGATTGGAAATCACAAAATCACGGAGGAACACCCTTTTAAGTTGTCCAACTGAGACCAAACAAGGTAAGAAAGTCCTTGGGTTACAAAAAATAGAGAGGAAATAAAATTCAGAAAAGAAAATTGAGTCTGGAGCTGTGCCATGGTATTGGTTGTCCTGGGTAATTCAGCAACATTTGCTTTGATGTTTGCACAGGGACAGGAACAGACCCCTAAACCAAGGAGAGAGAAGAATGAGGAAAGAAAGCAGGGGCCAGAAAGAGGAGCTATGGTCCAGAGAATGGTCTACAATAGCTATGTTTTCAGTTTTGAATGAGTTTGTTAAATATACAGCAAGTCAAAGAAAAAGAATAAGAATAAACAGTAAGCAGTAAATAATAAGCAGATGGAAGGAAATAGATAGGCAGACAGACAGACAGACAGACAGACAATCTTCAAATCAGGTGCTCAAAGCATTCAGCAGAATTGATTGGGCAATCCCTCTTGAGGTACTCAGCTGGAGTTCCCAACAGAGAGAGTCCCAGGCAAAGCACAGTGTGGCCCTGGGTAAGGCTTCCACGTCAAGGAACAAATAAGAGAAGAAAGCAGATGTCACCAAGTGGAACTCACAAACAGCCAGCAAAAGCTGACTGATGAAGATCCATTAGGACAGACAGCTGGCTTATCCATCAAGAGTTCCAGGCAGAGCAGAATAGGTTTTCAAGGAAAAGGACAAATAGCAACAGCCAGAGGTAACCTCATCAGATCCTGTGCACATCACGTCTGCCAGAAACCAAGGCATCAGCTGGAGTTCCAGGTTGAGCTTTCTCCCTCTGCCTGAGCTTTCCTGGGTCTGAACTTCTGGCTGAGTTTTCCCAGTGGGCTAACCAAAGTAACATCTGTAGGAGATAGTTCACCTCTACATGTTCCCAAGAACAAAAAGTTTGTACCCAGGCAATTCTGCTGCTCCCTTTCCTCTCTGTCACAGAGTTAGGAGACCAGCCTTTCCCCAGATACAGGGTCTTGGAGAACACTTAGGTAAACATACTTGGGTGTGAAGTGGGGGTGGAGCAACTTCCCTTCCAGGGCCAGCTTCTCAGTGAGTTCAAATGACACAAGACAATTTGCCAATATAATGCACACCGTAGTCAGTAAAGGAATCTCTCTGCCTGCCCTCAACAAGACACTGCAAGCTCACTGCCAGAGTCACCAGAATCGCCTCAGCAAGGCCCACCATCCTACATGTCAACATTCATAAAGGAAAGGGTCGCTATAAGGGTGTCTGCTAAAGGACCAGCAGAGTTAGCCAAGGGACTTCTGACAGATCTGTTAGATGTAGAAATAAGAGAGTGTCAAAGATGTACAAAAATGAACAATTGTAGCAAAATAAGATGCAATTATAATCAGAACCATCAAATAAATACATGGTGTTTTATAATTGGATATATATTTAGTTCATATTAGTTATATCACATTTAAAATAAAAAAACAAAATTAGCCTAACTCTCATATTATGCATCTGAGTAGGAAAAATAATGTATGAACTTAGAAATGGGATGGAATGAGGGCTGGGAGAAGAAGAGATCCATGTGATGTGGTTGGAAGTCACACACATGAAAAGGAAAGAAGACACTCACATAATAATGTCAGGCAATGTTGAAGTGAAAGAACAACCTGAGGTTTAAAGTTTAAGAATTCAAGCAAACAAACAAAAAAAATTAAGTCAACACTTTAGAAAACTTGGTGACTTGGAAAATACACCAAGAAGCTGACAAGGTCTCTCAGCAGGATTTGTCAACCTGGCCCTTATTCAAACATCCTGGCATTTGTTTAATTAGGCATATACAAACACACAAATGCAAAAATGCCTGTGCTCATAGAAAAATAGCAGATGTGGTGCTGTTCCACGATGCAAACACCAGGTGGAGCTATTGCTTGTCCAGAAAGGAAGCTGGGGTTTCTGGAAGGCTCATTGGCATATATGTGACAGTTTCTAGAGGAAGAGTTTACTCCTGATAACAAAGGGGAAATCAAAACTTGAGCTAACAAAGGGGTCAAGATCAGGCTGGAGAAACCTACAGAAACAGCTGACCTGAACAAGGGGGAGCTCACGGACCCCAGACAGATAGCTGGGAAACCAGCATAGAACTGATCCAGAACTCCTGAACGTGGGTGTCAGTGAGGAGGCCTGAGCATTCTATGGGGCCTCTGGTAGTGGATCAGTATTTGTCCCTAGTGTACGAATGGATTTTGGGAGCAGGTTCCACATAGAGGGGTACTCTCTCAGCTTAGACACACGGGGAGGGCCTAGGCACTGCTCCAAAGGATATGACAGACTTTGAAGATCCCCATGGAAGGCCTCACCCTCCGTGGGGAGCAGAAAGGGGTTGGGATGGGGGTCAGGGGAGAGAGAGGGAACTCGGATTGAAATGTAAAACAAGCTTGTTTCTAATTAAAAAAAAATACTTGAGCTAACTATTAATGAGTTAATAGGGCCTGGCTGGAAGTGGCATAATTGGCAATGACTCTCCAGGTTGTGCTACCAGTGCAGAAGAGCTGAGCAACCCTCAAGAGGACTCAGGCAGAGTGAGAACTCAAAACTTCACCTATTTATGCCCCTTTAACTTACCTCTCTTCTCCAAAGTTCATTTATGTGGCTCGGAACGCCAAAGACTGCATGGTTTCCTACTACCACTTCTATAGGATGAGCCAGCTTCTCCCAGATCCAAGGACTTGGGATGAGTATTTTGAATTCTTCATTAATGGGAAAGGTAAATAGAAATACTGGATGCCCCTGTGTTCTTACTCCAATAAAGCTGAGTTGAGAGGACTACTCATGATAGTTAAGTCCCCAGAATGTCATGTGCCTCCTTAGATAAGTCCTACCACTGACAGCACACCCCCCCCCCCCGTAAAGGAGGCTGGTTCCTTTCACAGTGCAGAACCCCAGATCTCAGCAAGCAGCCCTATCCTACTTCAAACGCCTTTATTCAGAGATTCCTGGTCCGTAGAGCTACCCTCATCCTGGATGTCCCTGTCATCATATGAGGTGCAGGTGATTGTATATAAGCAACACTAAGCACCTTAATTAGCATATTAAGGCAAAACCTCCAAGACTGACCCAAAGCACATGGCCTCAGAATCAAGTAGCACAGTGTCCTTAGGATATATCAGGCACAAGATTTTTCCTTTCACCATGTATTTGGTGCACAAAGAGAAAAAGAGGAGGAGGGGTAAAAGGGAGGAGGAGGAGGAAAAGAAGAAGAAGAAGAAGAAGAAGAAGAAGAAGAAGAAGAAGAAGAAGAAGAAGAAGAAGAAGAAGAAGAAGAAGAGCCCGACTCCCGACTCTCAGGTTTGTGTTCATGAAAATTGTTCTTGTTTGTTACAGTAAACTGGGGATCCTGGTTTGACCATGTGAGAGGATGGTGGGAAATAAGAGACAGACACCAGATTCTCTTCCTCTTCTATGAAGATATGAAGAGGGTAAGTAAATTAGCAGGGGAACTTCTTCAGGAATGTGTGTCTGACAGGGATGTCTGGAAAAACTGGATCAATGTTAAAACTCTATTCCAGTCCCACTCAGTGTTACCTTCACCCACAGGACCCAAAACATGAAATCCGGAAGGTAATGCAGTTCATGGGAAAGAACTTGGATGAAACTGTGCTGGATAAAATCGTCCAGGAGACATCATTTGAGAAAATGAAAGAGAATCCTATGACCAATCGTTCAACCGTTCCCAAATCGATCCTGGACCAGTCCATTTCCTCTTTCATGAGAAAAGGTTTGTGGGGAATTCTGTATCTCTAATTCTGAGACAGTACACTCCCAATATACACTTCAAGCTCCTAAGAAAGCTAGAGACTCATTCCTATTGTGCAGAGGTTCTACAATCCAAGTCTTACAGAGAACTAAGGTCTGAGCTATTCTTGATGCACACCTCACTGGAAACCCTGCCTGAGGTTAGACTCATCAGATCTGAGATCTTGGAAGCAGGAGTTAGAGCTCTGCTGTAGGTTCTACTTGTAAGTGCAGCTACTGTCCACACATGCATCTTGTCTTCCACCCCTGTGCCTTTCTCCTGCTTCATAGCCACTGCTTTGGCTTCTGTGCATGACTTAGTTCTTCTGACCAGAGTCCCAAACTGCTCAGGCTCATGACTGTTAACATGTACTGCTGTAAACCTGCCTCTTAATGCTTCCTGCTTCCTGAGAGAGGAATTCTGATTGGCCCAGATGGCCCGGTTATAAGGGTTAAAATGTTATTGTCTTAAAGTGTTACTATTTATTTTGAAGTGAGTTCATTAAATAACATAAACAATACTGATTTGGCCATTTCACACAGATCCTTATTAAAACCCCTTCCCAAGATGCTAGGAATCACACACAGCCCTTCCCCATTCTGATTAGCATATGCATTTCTTTTGCATAACAGTACATCCAGGAGCTGGGGTTTACATATTGTTCTAAAATGTCTTTCCTTTTTCTTTCAGTACATGAGTTAATTTATTCCATGGTCCTTGCTGTCTGCAAAGTATGCCAGGCCCCTGAAATAAAATAACTCTGCCTCTTCTCTCTCTTTATCAATGGTGAGGATTTGATAAGTAGTCTTCAAGCTATCAATATCTGCCATTCTCCACATACACTTGTGTTTGCGGTCTTTGCTAGCTTACTTTGGCCCATAGACACACAAATATAGATACTATGATAGAAATTTTTTTTCATTAAAACACAAACCGTGGCTACACAATACAGTTTTGCTTACTGGAATATGAAAGATCTTTCCAGGTCAAGGAACATGGATCTCAGCACATCACTGTTTGTACAGGTCTCATGGACATGCTGTCATTCATCCAATTATTTCTCCAACTATAGAAATTATAGATACTGTGTTTAAATTTTTATGATTAATGCTACAATAAACATTTTTGTTCATCACACTGAATAATTTCCCACAAGAATCACAGGTGTTACAAAGAGTATTTCCTTATTTACAATCATTTTAATCACTGCCTGTTGAAAAATAGCATTTCATTCTCTCCAATTTTTTTTCATTGAGATATATTATCTACATAACAACCAACAAAAATTAACTGTACAGTTCAACCATTTTTAATTAAAAAACAAAACTATGCAACCAACATCTGAATCAAGGCAGCAAAGAATCCCATCACATTGGGAAATTTTCTTTGGTATCCTTTCCAGTTCTCTTCCTATAGAGAACCATGTTCTCATCTCTCACTATCCACTGATTTTGCTTGTTCTTAGATGGTATACACATGGAATGTCACAGTATATATTTTCTTATATCCAGGACCTTGGGCCAGTATAACATCTTAAGATCCCCTGGTATGGTTCTATGTCTGCCATTCATTTGTTTTTGTAACTGTGGATATCCAGTATATATGTACACCACAGCTAGGGGGCCAGGATTCCATGTCACCAAGCTAATTCAAGCTCTCTCGAAACAGTTGTCCACTTGATTTAGAATTGGCACCCTGCAGACCACTAGGGCTGCCTCTCAGACAAGAGAGCTAAGGTGATGAGAAGCTTGGTGACTGCCTGGCCAGCTCCAAAGTAGACACTCCACACTCTACTCAGGGACACAAAGTCTGTCAATCAGAGACTGATGCTCCTGTCTGGGCTTCATCTTTTAGGAACTGTGGGTGATTGGAAGAACCACTTCACTGTGGCTCAGAATGAGAGGTTTGATGAAATCTACAGACAGAAGATGAAAGGAACGTCTATAAACTTCTGCATGGAACTCTGATCAACATGTAAAGATAGATGTCAAGAACATGGAGGCTGTCTGCAAGCCTCAGCCCAGCCAAAAGAAGCTCTAAAAGCACACTGTAAATGTGAGGAGGATTGTGGCTCAGAATCTGTGATTATTAACATCACAGTTATAAATGTGGATCATGGTTATGTGTATTATTTCCAGTCTCCAGAATAAATTGCTAAGGCAGATTAATAATCTAAGGGAAACATAAGTAAGTCTTGAATGCTACAAAATTTAAGTTTCCATTCTTCTAGAACAGTGGTTCTCAACTTGGGGGTCACAACCTCTTTGGCGTCATATTTCAGATATCCTGCATATCAGATGTTTATATTACAATTCATAACAGTAGCAAAATTACAGTTATGGAGTATCAACAAAGTAATTTTATGTTTGAGGGTCATCACAACACCAGGAACTGTATTAAAGGGTCACAGCATTAGGAAAGTTGAGAACCACTGTACTAGAAGGTATAGCCTGACTCTGAAATGTACTACCTTAAGTCCAAGCACACAAATACTAGACATCATCTATATGAATGTAAATGAAGTTCCTAATGTCTTTCCTGATCAATCAGAGTTTTGCCTAGTTACAATGGAAAGAATCACTTTATGGACAATGTGTTGCAACCAGCCCATGGGAACATGTTATACCTGGTGGGAGGTAAATAAGGGAAGGACTCCAAGGAGATGTCAGAAATACAAACTTTAATGAAGGGAATCACAGATCTGTGTCATAAAAGAAACAGAAAGGAAAGCATTGTACCTGGATAAATGTAGAGTGTAGGCATCATGCTCAGTTTGGAGCCAATTGAGTTTTGACCTACAGTCATCCCATCTGAGGAGCAACTTGTAACCAAACCAAGAGTCTCCTTTGCCTAGTTTCCATTTTTGCCCATTTTTAACTGAGTCTGTCTGTATTTTCTTGCCAGCATACTTATCTCTATCTCCCACTAGTTCCATGTCTTTGTCATGGAACTAGTACCTCTTATTCCTAGTACCTGAGGCAGTGTGGGGCACACAGCATGTTGCATGAGTGAATGATAGCACAGAAGACAGAAAGGCAGGCATATTTCAGGTCATAATTTCTCAGCTTTTATCTTTTATTTTAGTTTCAAATAACAACATTCCAAAGCCAAGAGCATCAGGAGCAGTTTGTGGTGAAAGCAGGAATACAGGGTACATTACAAGAGCTAGAATGTTGGTTGCTTTCTACCAAGCCTTTCTCCTAAAAGGTCACATGATAAAGATTTGGACCCAGCATGGTGTTCCTGAGAGGAGAATCTGTTAGAATGTGTAAGAGAATTTAGCTTCTTTCCTGATCCACTGGCCTGACCCCTCCCGAGTCCCATTCATCCTGATCTCTCTGGGCCTGGGCCTGCTTGGAGTGGACCAGCCTAGCCAGGGAAGAGCTCCCTGAGTCTGGCAAAACCTCACTCTTCCTTCCTGATCCACCAGTCTGACCCCTATCAAGGTAAGTGCACCCTCTGCTCTTGCCCAAATCCTGTCCAAAAGCCCCATTCATCCTGATCTCTCTGGGCCTGGGCCTGCTTGGAGTGGACCCTCCCAGCCAGGGAGGAGCTCCCTGAGTCTGGAAACACCTCACTCTTCCTTCCAGACCTGCTGGCCTGACCCCTATCAAGGCCTGACTCTTACCGAGTGAGGAGACTACCAGGAGAGGCAAGACCATTCAGAGCTGCAGACATTGAACTCCTGGCCAACACACAACAGCCGGTCACAAGAGGAGATAGAGAGACCCCACCTGCTCCCACTGGAAGAAGAGATGGGAAGAAGGCCGAATAAGAACACACTCAACCTCAGAAAGACCAATATGACACCACTAGAATCTAGGGACTCCCCACCAGTAAGATCTGAAAAGCCCAACACAGAGGATGAGGAAGAGATGGATCTCAAAAATTACCTTGGGAAGATGATAGAGACCTTTAAAGAGGAAACAAGAAAATCCCTTAAAGAAATAGAAGAAAAAACAAGCAAAAAATTACATGAGATGAAGGAAAAGACAAATAAAAAAAATTCAAGAAATAAACCAATCTCTTAAAGAATTTAAAGAAAGCCAAGAAAAAAACAACTAAAAAGTGAAGAAAGCACTCGAAACAGTTCAAGGCATGAAAGCTGAAATAGACACAATAAAGAAAACATAGAACGAGGTGATACTGGGAATAGATAGGCTGGATAAATGATCAGGAACTAAAGATGTGAGTATAACCAACAGAATTCAAGAGATGGAAGAGAGAATCTCAGTTGTTGAAGACTATCTAGAGGATATACAATCATCAACCAAAGAAAATCTCAAGTCCAACAAATCCCTAACACAAAATATCCAGGAAATATGGGACACCATGAAAAGGCCAAACCTAAGAATAACAGGTATAGAAGAAGATGAAGAAAAACTGCTCAAAGGTACAGAAAACATATTCAACAAAATCATAGAGGAAAACTTCCCCAACTTACAGAAGGATATGCCTATGAAAGTACAAGAAGCTTACAGGACACCAAACAGACTTGACCACAAAAAGAAGTCCCCTCGACACATAATAATCAAAACACCAAATCTACAGAATAAAGAGAAAATATTAAGAGCAGCAAAGGAAAAAGGCCAAGCACCATATAAAGGCAGATCTATCAGAATCACACCCGACTTCTCAATAGAAACTCTGAAAGCCAGAAGGTCCTGGATAGATATCCTACAAACACTAAGGGAGCATGGATGTCAATCCAGACTACTGTACCCAGCAAAACTTTCAATCACTATAGATAGAAAAAACAAGATATTCCATGACAAAATAGATTTAAACAATACATATCCACAAATCAGCACTACAGAAAGTCCTAGAGGGAAAACTCCAACCCAACAAAGACAACTACATTCACAAAAACATAGGTAATAGATAATCCAACTTTACCAAACAGGAAAAGAAACAGGAGGACGAAATCCACACACAAAATGACACCACCAATAATCCAAAACAAACAAGAACCAACAATCAATGGGCATTAGTATCCCAAAATGTCAATGGTCTTAACCTGCCTATAAGAAGATACAGGTTAACAGAATGGATACGGAGACAGAATCCATCCTTCTGCTGAATACAAGAAACACACCTCAACTCACACCTCAACTTCAAAGATAGGCGTTACCTCAGAGTAAAGGGTTGGGAAAAGATTTTCCAATCAAATGGGCCCAAGGAACAAGCTGGTATAGTAATCCTAATATCTAACAAATTAGACTTCAAACTAAAATCAATCAAAAGGGATGAAGAAGGGCCTTTCATACTCATCACAGGAAAAGTCCATTAAGATGAAGTCTCAATCCTGAACATCTATGCCCCAAATACAAAGGCAACCACATTTGTAAAAGAAACATTTCTAAAGCTCAAACCACACATAAAACCACACACACATAGTAGGAGACTTCAACACCCCCCTTTCACCACTAGACAGGACCACCAGACAGAAATTTAACAAAGAAACAAAAGATCTAACAGAAGTAATAACCCAACTGGGTTTAACAGATATCTATAGAACATTCCATCCAAACACAAAAGAATACACCTTCTTCTCAGCACCACATGGAACCTTCTCTAAAATTGACCACATAGTTGGTAACAAAATAAACCTCCACAGTTACAAAATAATTGAAATAACTCTCTATATCATCTCAGATCAACATGCTTTGAAGTTAGAATACAACAGCAATACAAATTGCAGAAAACCTACATATTCGTGGAAATTGAGTAACACCCAATTCCTGGGTTGAGGAAGAAATAAAAAAAGAAATTAAAGACTTCCTAGAATTTAATGAGACTGTAGACACAACATACCCAAACTTAATGGACGCTCTGAAAGCAGTGCTAAGGGGAAGGTTTATAGCACTAAGTGCCCACATGAAGAAACTAGAGAAAAGTCACACTAGAGAATTGACAGAACAACTGAAAGCTTTAGAGCAAAAAGAAACAAACTCACCACAGAGGAGTAGATGCCAGGAAATAATCAAACTGAGGGCTGAAATCAATAAATTAGAAACTAGGAACCCTTACAAAAAAATCAATGAAACAAAGAGTTGGTTCATTGAGAAGATCAACAAGATAGACAAACCTCTATCCAAACTAACCAAAAGGCAGAGAGAGAGAGCATGCTAATTAACAAAATCAGAAATGAAAAGGTCGATATAACAACAGATACTGAGGAAATCCAGAGAATCATCAGGTCATACTTTGAAAACCTGTACTCCACAAATCACTTACCAAAATTAAACCAAGAAGAGGTAAGCAGTTTAAATTGATCTATAACCCACAATGAAATAGAAGCAGTCATCAAAAGCCTCCCAACCAAAAAAAAGCCCAGGACCAGAAGTCTTCACTGCAGAATTCTACCAGAAATTCAAACAAGAGCTAATACCAGTACTCCTCAAACTGTTCTGTACAATAGAAGCAGAAGGGACATTGCCAAACTCTTTTTATGAGGCATCAATCACTTTGATACCCAAGAAACACAAAGATACAACTAAAAAAGAGAACTACAGACCAATATCCCTCATGAACATTGATGCAAAAATATTCCACAAAATATTGGTGAATTGAATCCAAGAGCACATCAGAAAAATCATCCACTGTGATCAAGTAGTCTTCATCCCAGGCATGCAAGGATGGTTCAACATACAAAAATCCATAAATGTAATCCACCATATAAACAAACTGAATAAGAAAAACAACATGATCATCTCACTAGATGCTGAAAAAGCCTTTGGCAAAATCCAACATCCCTTCATGATTAAGATCTTGGAGAGAACAGGAATAACAGGAACAAATCTAAACCTGATAAAAAGCAAACGAAAGGCCAACATCAAAATAAATGGAGAGAAACTCAAAGCAATCCCTCTAAAATCAGGAACAAGAAAAAGCTGTCCTCTCTCTCTCTCCATATCTCTTCAATATTGTACTTGAAGTTCTAGCTAGAGCAATTAGACAAGAAAAG